GACCAAGGGCTTTCACGCTTATGCAGGAACCATGTTACAGTGGTCGGAGGACTTGCCAAAGTGAGATTGGCAAGTCAGGGGAACAAATACCCTAGTTGAAGGTGATAACTTCAAAAAGGGTGGGCCATGGGGCCAAGCATGGAGGAGTCCATGCATGATCACAGACTTGTCAACTAAGAAGACTTGGCAATGTGGAGGAACTAGGTTCCTAAGCTGTGATCTATGGCGCGCTTTGAGTATAAGTTGGTGCACCGGCGTGGGGAGTCACGCCAGGCATCCTGGGTGATATCGTCTGTAGATGCATATATGGAGGTTGGGTTTGAGTCCCGACCCTCTAGTGCTTGGGTTCAAGTCCTAACTCACTAGGGCGTGGTGATGGTTTGGAATATGAGGACACTCATTTTTCGATGGTCATGGACTCTTAGTGTGGAGACTAGCTTGGGCACACCGCCAAGCGAGGGATGCCTCGGAGTCGTGATGCACGGTTAGATTGCTTAGTGTGGCTCAGCATATCTAACTTGAACACTTTGGTGCAAGTGGCACCAAGGACGTGGTGAATGAGATGGGGACACCCAGTCTCAGTTGCTATGGACCCTTGGCTGGAAGGGCTGGCTTGGGCGCACCGCCAAGTGTGGGGGATGCCCCCGGGGTCGTAGTTAACAAATTAAAGGTCTAGAAGACCTAGTACCTATTGGCAAACCTGTTAAGGTGTCGAGGTGAGATCACTAGGTGATCTTGTGGCTAAATAAGGACAAGGTTCTTGTTTGGGCTAAGGAATAAGGTTCCTAGTTCAAAGTGTTGATTTGAACTATTGATGATAGTGTGGCTTGGTCAAGGTGACCAAGTGGGAAAAGCACCTTAGGGAAATGAGCTATGTCATTGCGATGGCATAGTGTGTCCAAGGAAAGTAGTCTCTAAAGAGACCCATGGGAAGGTCACAAAGTTGGGTCGTGGATAGAGCCCATAGCAGAAGATGCTAAAGAGACTTACTAGGGGTGAACACCCTAGTCTTGGCAAAGCAGAGCCTTTGCTATGGAATCAAAAGAATACCTCAAGGAGGGAGGTAGAGATTCGGTGTTGCTTGGTGCAACAATCAACAGATAGGAGCAAAAGATGAGTGGCCAAGATAGGGCTGTGGAATCCCTTGGAAGGAATCCAAGTGGCAAAGTTAGGCGAGGAACACTAATGTGTTGGACGCTAACAAATTGCAGGAAAGGAAGTGTGTTTCCAAGGATGGATTCCAAATTGCTCCAATTTAGCGAAAGAGGAAGCTCCAAGGGAGGGAGCGGTAAGGTAGCCAAATGATAGGGCCATGAACAGCCTTAGCACAATGTATAATAACTGGAACTTAGTGCCCCAAGGTGGCACGAAATAGAAAAGAGGATGATGGTGCCCTTGAGTAGAGAACTTCCTAGGATGGGAAGTGGAGTTGCACAAAAGATGCAAGGCAAGGTGTCGGAGACATCTAGGAAATTGACTCCAAAAAGTCAAAATTCAAAGTTCCAAAGTGCAAAGGTTATATCGATGGGAACTGAGACCACTCGAGAATGAGTAGTGGGAATTGAGTTAGAGAAGATGTCTCTAACAGGTTTAGTGAGAACTAAACCAATAAAAGGGAGCAAACCACTCTAGGTGGTCAAATAAGTCTCTATGTTGGAAAGACTATGCTCCTTAGAGGATGGGCAAGGCATAGTGAGCCTTTGGTGTCAAACCATTGACGAATATGGAGAAGGCATGGTGAGCCTTCAATGTGAAACTATTGACAAATATTGGCTAGGTGCCAAGGATGGAAATGGTAACACATGCAGGTGTTACTTTATAAAATAGTTTACCGTTCGATGAGGACATCGAACTTCGTCTATAGGTGGTGGAGTTGTGAAACACAAAATCCCTAGGCCCCAAAGTGGAGCCGGAAAGGGTGCCACGTGGCAGTGGCCGAAGCGAAAGCCAAACGAGCATAACACATTTGGACTAAAAGCTCTGACTTGGAAGGTCGAGAGCGGGAGTGGAACTCCCAACAAAGGGCTCGAGGAGCAAGCATGAGGCAACCAAAAAGCAAGGCTCCAAAAAGGGACCCAAAAAGGACACATGACACGTGGAAGTGTCTGAGATGGAGTCTGAGGTAGACCCGAGTTGGAGTCCGAGATGGACCCGAAGTGGAGTCCGAGATGGACCCGAGATGGAGTCCGAGATGGACTCAAGATGGAGTCCGAGATGGAGTCCGAGATGGAACTGAGACCGGGACCAAGACTGAGACCGAGACCAAGACCGAGTCCGAGTCTGAATCCGGGACCGAGACCGAGTCTGAGTCCGAGTCCGAATACTAATACTGGCAGTTGGGTGAAAGCTTAAAGCGATCATCCCCCGGGGGGGGGGGCTGCGGGGGGTTCCAAAAGTATAGTAGGGAGAGTGTGGGGGTTGGAGCCCAATGGAGCCAGTTTGGCCAGGAAAGGCCAGTTTGGCCCAGGAAGGCCAGACCCAGTGTTGGGTGATGAGCTGACCACTAGGAAGTCCAAGACTAGAGTGAACACGGACCGACAAGTGGGGTAGCTTGGTGAAGTGTTCAAGAGCCGGCTCTAGTTCCCCCGTATTCTTGGCTCTAGTTCCCCCGTAAATCTTGGGTACTGTATTTCTCGTGAGGGTTTGCAAGTTGATCCTGACAAACTTGTAGCCATTCTAAAGTTCCCTACTCCAAAGTGTGTGAATGATGTGCAACGCTTCCTAGGCAAGGTGCAGTATCTCAGTCGTTTTGTGGATCATCTTTCTGATTACACTACACCGTTGCAAGCGTTGCTGAAGTCATCAACATCATCTTTTATCTGGTCTTCAGATTGTGAGCAGGCGTTTGTAGATCTCAAAGAGCTGTTGACAACTCCTCCAGTTTTGGCATATCCTGACTATACTCGACCTTTTATTTTACGCGTAGATGCTTCTGATATTAGTCTTGGAGGTGTGTTAATGCAAGAAAGCCCGAGTGTGCCTGGTCAGTGTCATCCTATTGCATATATAAGCTGTACATTACAACCAACAGAGGTGAACTACTCCACGACAGAGGAGTGTTTAGCGGCAGTTTGGGGTTTCGAGAAACTTCATGCATATCTATGGTTCTCAGATGTTACTTGAAGGTGACCATGCTGCCGTTACTTCATTATTGAAGCAGAAGAACCTGGTTGGTCGTACTGCTCGATGGGCTTTGAAGCTTCAGATATATGATTTTGATGTTGTTCATTGCTCAAGGAGTTTCTGTGGATTTTCTAAATGAAGATTCCTTGCCATCGGCAGTTGCTGTACTTGACGTTCAGTGTCCACAAGGTGCAGAGCAAGATCTACCTTTTCTTGATGAGGTTCGCGAGGCTCAAAAGATTGAAATGTGGATTCGAAGGCTTCGAGATGTATTTGAGAATCCTACATCACTTGCTGATGACTTGCCTTTCCGGCATTTACATTCTCAATATCGCTTTGAAGATGGCCTTCTTTATTTTGTGGGAACAAGTCCTAATGATCATTTACGGTTGGTGGTGCCTTCTGTCTTTGTTCCGCGGTTTCTCCATGCCTACAATGATTCTCCTGTTCTAGGTGGGCATATGGGACATCGTCGTGTGACCGAGAAGCTACATAGGTCTTTCTATTGGCTGGAGATGCGACATGATGTTATTCGGTATGTGTAGCTGCGTTTGGTGCTAAGCTCGTAATACTCCCCCTTGTGTTGTGAAATGACGGTTGGAATCAATTACAGTTTCCCGTCTGTTTGAGCTGGTGGCGTTTGATCTTATGGGACCTTTTCCACAGTCGACTGTTGGCAATGAGTATGTTATTATTGCTTCTGACTACTTGACTCGTTGGGTGGAAGTTGGTGCTTTTGCTAGCGCCTTTGTAACTGTTGTTGGATACTTCCTCCTCAATCGAGTGGTGTTCCAGCATTCTTGTCCAGAGCGGATTCTTTCGGATAATGGTCCTGCATTTATGGCTGAGGCATTTCATGTTTTGACGTCTCGGCTGGGGATACGCCACACTTTCACGAGTGCTTATCATCCACAATCAGACAATCTGGTAGAACGGCTCGTTCGAACATTCAAAGGGATGATTGCGAAGTATGTGAACTTTCAACATTCAGATTGGGATGGTTATTTGCCGTCTCTTCGGTATGCCTATGTCACATGGGTTGCAGAGTTCTATTGGTGCTTCACCATATAAACTTCTATATGGTCATAATCCAATATTACCAACAGAGCTAGGTTTACTTTCGCAATTGCCACGAGCTTGATGAGCATTCTTCCACTTGTCCGAGCAGAGTTTGCCGAACACTTAGGCCGCGTATAAGTGGGACAACAACGGCGCTACAACTCCCATCATCATCCATTTGTAGAGTACAAAGTGGATGATTTAGTGTTAGTCCGTTTTCCCTATCTTATGGTACGTGGTTTATCTAAAGGCTCCTTGCAAGTGGAAAAGATCGTATTGGGTGTTGCGGCAAGTTGGACCATAAGTTTATGAGGTTTGGCATGACGTCTAGCAAACCGATCCTCCGGAGATTATGCATGTGTAGCAGTTGAAACACTTCATACAAAAGGATCAAAAGCAATTAATACCATCTACAAATCCACCAATGCCTCCTCTTGACATTCCTCCAAATCCTGGCCCATCTACAAGAGAACTCTAACGGCCTTCCATTATTCCGAGAGGAGGGGATGATGTAAAGGCCAAGTGTATGCCGTATACTAATATTAGCATAGTGGGATTTTAGTAGCTGTCGAATTGGTTTCAATCTGGACCACTCACTCTTATATATAAGTTAGGGTTTTTGGGTTAGTTGATATACACATTTCTGGATTCCTTTTCCATATTCCAAGCACTCACAAGTAGATTTATAATGATGTCATATTATTTGGGATGATGTGGCATGTCTTACATGGCAAATTAAGATGTTATGCATACATAACAAAAATATTCTACTGCTGCCAATAATATGTGAGCAAGTTTTGTTGCTTTGTTATTGTCGATAGAGAAGTGAAGGCTACTTCAGAATTTTTATCAGAAAAAATGGGCTGAAGCTTATTTCATGACAAAGGAATTAGAACACAACCAGTGTTGTGACAGACTTTGGTGGTATCCACACAACCACATTCGGAGACTCGACGGTGAAGGCCAAGCTTGGAAGCTGGACGAAGTCTTCACTGGCCGAGCTTCGAAACACCGAGGCCTGAAAGGCCTTGGACGCGATCCTGGGAACGCAACCAGTGCTGTAGCTCACATCCTTGCTTCTCGAGGACGTGTTCGTGACAACGAGCACTAGAGAGGTCCCAGCTTCGTCCCTTGCGGCCACTAGACTGTCCGCAAACTTCTCCGTTGGCAACATCTCAAAGCCTGGCCTGATGAATCTAGAAAAGTGCTTGAGTACCTGGTACTGCTTGCGGATTTGTAGATCATGTTTTCCTTGGTACGTGAACAAGCACTGGATAAGACCCCATAAACTTCCTGGCACTTCGAGCGCTTGCCAGTAGCACCACGCCGATGGCTGGAGCTCGTTTATGTCCAGACTGATGTGCCTGGCTACTTGCACTGCCACCTCCCATTCGTTGCCATTCCAGTTCAAGGGTCCGTATTCCGACATCCAGAGTCTCTTTCCAATAGAGCTAACAGCCTGCCTTACCTGAAAAGCCGAAACACTTAGATCCCCCAAGAAAAAAGAAGCGCTTCTTTCTCTACCTCTTTCCTCCTTGCAGTCTCTTCTCTCGTCACGAAGTTGATGTAAGTATGCACGTTTACTTGATCGATGGCCGAGACCAATGGCTCGTCCATCAATCGCAGCAGTTTTGGAGTGTTAAAGCTCCAGGCGTCAAAGACACTGAGCTTCGTGGACAGGCCCTTGTCGAGAAGAGCTCGTTTCACATCCAAAACGACCTGCGCAATTCTTTCTCCGTCTTGGTTCAGCGGGTTAATTAAGCGGAGATTTACCTGGCGCATGGACGAGAACCGAAAGTTACATCCCTCTTGCGCTGCTTTGCTGCGGTTGATATTCCACCATCCCTCGACTGGCTCGTTGAAAGGTGCGAGATAGTCGAAGTGCAAGTCGTGCTCATCTTGGTAGTACTTCACAACTTCAGTCAAGTAGTCCGCAAAAGCGGTGTAATACTTGCCGTCCAGATTATCCTGGCCCCAGTTGTGGTTCCCTGCGACACACCAAGATGGCTAGAAAAAAAGAAAGAGAAACGAAAAATGAAAAAATGTAAGATCACCTGTGACAGAACCACTCATGGTCATCCACCACGGTGGCGAATTCGAAAAGGCCTCAAAAATCTGAGCGCCTCGAGCTCGAGCTCCCAGCAGAACTGAGCGTTGCCTGGCATCAGCAGCCCAGACATATGGCCCTGACGGGCCACCCGGACGAAAGCCAGGCATATCAGCAAACGGCCTCAAGTTGGAATCACCACCAGTATACGCTCCGCCGCCAATGTTGTAGCGGACAATGGTGATCCCACGGCCTTTCTCCGCATCAAACAGCAAATCCAATACGCGTTGCTGCTCCTTCTCAGGCAATCCTCCTACAAAATTTGCCCACCTGTTTTACTATTCAGTAAGAGCGACC